TCATAATATTTTTTTTTGCAAATTTGTAAAAAAAAACAACTTTAAGTCTGGATAAAACCAATTGGCATCATTTTTAAAATATATTAATGCTTATTTTCGATATATATTTTTTTTTGTTGTGTTATTTGTATAAAAGAAAACAAAATGTATATAAGAAGTGCAATTGTTAGTATTATTGCCTTATATATTTAAATTAATTAATTTATTAATGTATTATAATTTATAAGTAAATGAAATGCTTGTTTGATTTTAAACGGATGATTGGGATTTTGCAATAAAATCCGTTGAACATTTAACCTAGATGGTGAATGTCCTAATTTGAAATATGTATTAAGAACAGATGTTGTTACTGCACCATGTTTTATTCTTTCGTAGTTGGAGTATTTTTTTTACTACTCTGAAAAAAAAAATTTAGGTTATAAAACCTTTTTTTTTTCCTCTATACCGGATATTGAAGTTAGGAAATTGAAAATTGAAAAAGATTCCCCTTTGATAATGATTATTTTTGAAAAATGTTTATTTTTTATGTCGTTAGGCATTAATTTGTAAACTTTCATAGTAAAGTGTATTAATTTTGACAGATTTGAGCATTATCAAAAAAATTGTCGAATTCGTTTGTATCCAATGTTATCAAATATTCGAAAATGTTTGATCTACTCTAAAATATTTGAGCTTAGACAGCTCATCTTCTTAAAATGTTTTAGTTTTCGTTTGGATATAAATATTGGTGTATTCTTTTGACATAAATGTTGCAATGGAACAACTTTTGGTGCTTAAGAATAATTTGTAGAATTTTAAAAAAGTTCATTATAAAAATATGCATAATGAGATAGGCATGAATAAATTCCTTTATATAATTTTCAAACTTGTAACATCACTAGTTAATGCTAAATGAGCAGTATTTAACAACGTTTTAATTTTCTTCCAATTGTATTAAAACTTTTTCTTTTATTTTGATTCTTGATTCTTCTTCTTGAGTTAGTGCTATTGCGCACTTTTACTCTATAATGGCTGCGGGGCTTACCTCTACCCCACACTAGGCTTTAACTAGGCTAAGAAATCATATCATTTGTTTGTCTTTTAGTTGATGACGGACCTTAAATCAGCATATCTTCCTGAGTCCAGAAGTGGACCTGAGGATTGTTATTTTGATGATTGTGTTTTATATATATTTATGCATTGCTTTTTTTAATGAACACAAAAATTAAAAATTCCTTTATAAATAGTTAACTTCTTTATAATTACTAACCTGCCAGTCATATTCATAAATTTTATTAAAAAATTACTTTTTTAAGATATTTAAATTTAATCATTAATACTCGCGATTGTAGTAAGTAATAAACAGCTAAATGTAGTTTTCTATTTTATTTCAAAAATCATTCACAATAGATCAGTGTTTAGATTTGGCATCATTGTAATGCGAGTGGCTTAAAAAAATACTTAACAAATATTTTCAGGAAACTGAGTTTGTTTAAGCGAATTTTGTTTTTGCTTTGCAGATGGGGGTCTATCATGCTGTGAGTGCCTCGTACTGAAAAGCACGGGTAGAACAGTCCTCAAGAGGTATAAATTCTATACATCAATTAATATGCACTTTTCGGAAGCATCAAAAAGCTATGGTGCTTCAGGCGCTTTAAATTATAAGTTAAGTTAGTGATGTTATTAATGAAGTTTTAAAAGAAGGTCTATCATTCTTCATCAAATGTTTCTCTGAATGAATAAGATCCTATATATATTAATATTTATTTTTCTATTTATTTAACTAAAATTAAAGAATGTTATTGTTTAAATAAAAAATGCACTTAAATCACACAATAAAAATTATTAAACATTTTATTATATGAATATTTAAAATATATATAATTTTGTAAAACAATTATATTTCACTAAACTTTCAAATATTCGTATAATTCACATTATATAATATTATGAGTATATTTTATAAATTTTGTAACATTTTTAATGAAATATGCCTATAGGTATGTATGTATATAATGAAAAATATCATATTTATATAACTATAAATGACTGATAGAATTTTGTAATATTTTATTAAATATTATTTAAATTTTGTAATAATTTTGATATATTTTTATTGTAGTATATTTATTTTATATTTAACAAATCGCAAAATTTTGCTACAACGACATAAAAAACTTAATATTTTATTTGCATTTTGCTTAATATTTAATTTAAATATATTTTTTTTAATGAGACAATTATTGTTAATTTTATTTGCTGCATTTTTCACAACTAATATCTGCTGCACTATAATCGAAAGATTTTCTATAATAGTAAATATATCTCAAAGTTTCGAGTGAGTGCTAATTAAGAAGTTTGTATAGTGAAATTTTAAAGTAGTATTAATAACTTCTAGCTATTAAAAAAAGAATTTACATACATTTTCGTTATAGTATAACCACATTGAGTTTATATTGTATTTTGTAGCAAAAATAAAATTTATTTGATGATTTTTAAAATTTTTAAATTGTTTGAAGTTGAGTTGAGTTTAATAAAAATTAATATACAAATTAATTAATTTAGTTATTTGTTAGATATTTGCATGCTGAAATTTTAGGAGATTTTTATGTATAAAATATTGCTTTATACCATATCCTGAGGTGTTTAATGTTTAAGTACTAAAATATTTTTACACTAATAAATTACATACATATGTAGTCTACAGAAGTTTATATGTGGAGATTCAACTTTTATATATTAAATTTAAATTTGTTAAAAATTAATTTTTAGTTTTTATTTTAATGTCACTAAAATAACACACAATACTAACATTGCTCCAATATTTTTATAAATTTAAAATCCACACTCTTTGTTAATATCTAATTAATACCAGTTCTAAATGTTTGAAAATAACTTTATTGCCATTTAAGTTTGACTCTAATAAATAAATTTACTAAATATAACAAGTGATATGTTTGTCATCTAAGCAATTAATTAAAAAATAAATACGTTATAAGCATAAAAGCCTTTCTAAGTTTTTTTTAAGTTCTTGGCAAAAAGGTTCAATTTGGTTTTCTTAATGCTTTAGTTTGCTTTGGCTGTTACTGTAGCGGTGATTTAAGCTCTTCGACTATTATGGCGCCGTTTTCATCCACTCTATGATTCAATAATAAATTCTCCACTTGCTCATCAGAGAGCAGCTCTTTGGGCTCAGAGGACCTGTAAAGTAATTTTCGCTTGTTTTTAGCTAATCCTTAAAACTTAATGTTTAATAGTTATCTTATAATAAAAAAAGTATTAAAAAGATTTGTACTTGGTTTTGTTATTTGTTATTTGTTAGTTGTTGTAAGTAAAAATATTTGAGAAATGTTAGTGGTTAATTATTGTAGAAAGTGAATTTGTGAATGTGATATGGCATACTCGTACAATTATAGCGATTTAATAATTATTATATATTTTTTGTATAAATAATTTTTTCATTTTTTGAAATTTTTTTTTGTCTCTGAAATATAGCATCAAAAATTTCTTATAAAATTTTAATATCAATATCAATATCAAATTGAATAACGAATCTCTATATTAGATTACAATTACAATTATGCAGCCAATCGAAAACAATTGCTTGAGTCAAATTCTAATTACGATAGATAGATCAATAGATAGATAGTATTTTTGTTGTATACTACAGTCAATAATTTGGCAATAATTTTTTGTTTTTGTGGAAGTTCAAAAATAGTTTTCAAAAATTTCTAAAATTGTTTATCAAATTCGTTTGGCAAATAATTTCTTCAACTAACGCTAATTAAATGTGCATGCATAACAAGTGATTTTAAAATTCCTTAAATGGATTTGTGAAACGATTTTGTATAGTGCTTAGTAGACCATTCTTTTTAAGCAGTGCTCTACTGTTGGATGAGCTTTCGCCTACTGACCTTGAAAATAAGAAAAAATCACCAGCTGATGTTGTGGTGCCACTTGCAACACTCTCCTCGTCAGCATTCATTTCAGACTCACTATTACGACGTTCCAAAGTTTTACCAACCTTCTGAAAACTTAGCGTGAACACATCCTTCACTTTATCACCAGCATCGATTAGTAGATCAAGACTTTGGCGTCGACCATTAGACTTAAAACTATTTGAACGTGACAACCACTGACTGAGACCCTGTTTTTTATTGACTTGATCTTCATGAAATATTGTCGTGCAAGTCACTTTCCGTTTAGGTTCGTCGGAAGAAGATGAAGAATGTTGAGATTGTATATCTTCACGTCCGTCTAGCGCTGCTTGATCATGTAATAGCGACTGATTTGAGTAACTAGAACTTGTGCTATCGGAATGCGATAAACGTATTTCAGTCCATTGTTCGATGTCATTGTCATCTGTGTCACCACATCCTGTACTTGTGCTGGCATCATGTGCGCTATGACCGCCACTACCACTGCCACCGATGCTATTGCTAGACTTTATATCATATGGTCCATGCAGTTGCGCCTGCACAAATATATTATCATCGGCAGTACTTGTACTTGCTGATTTGTGCATACCATTGGCTAACTTTTGCGGGAATGTTAAAACAGCTTCAAAGTCATGCAGCAGATGTGGGCACTCGTGTATATCGGGTCTTTTCTGTCGTACAGGACTGGAATTTGTGCTTAACTTATCAGGTAAATCTAGGTATTCGTCTGTGGAGTCAATTTTGCAAGGAAAACGTTGATAATTTTGTACATCACAATCAACAACATTCATATGTTTATTTGGTGGACTTCTCGACATTGTTTCAAATCTAAGCAAGTCTCTTTGTTCCTGTCTTTGACGATGTATATCCTCTGAGATCTGTTCAAGATTCTTAAGTGCATCATTGTAGGACATTTTAGCTTCCGAAACTTTTGTTTCTAGTTCATTGATTTTTCCCTTCTGCGTCTTCAGCAGTCCATTGAAATTAGCGCGTGTCTCGTAATAAGGCCTGAAATAGGATACAAAGACTTTTAATTATATGTTATATATATATATTATATAAAAATAGAGTGGAAGTCATTTTGATATTCATTTTACTTACAAGTTAGTTTTATCTAAACTGTTTCTATGTGCCAAAAGAGACAAATAAAGGTAATTACGTCTAATATTTGAACTAAAATAAAAATAAAAATAAAAATTTAAATCAAACATAAAATATGAAACATTTAAAAAAATAAATAAAATAATAATTAATAAAATAAATAAATTTATAATATTATACCAGCCAAGTACCAGTATTGCTAGTAATGTTTTATAATGAACAACTTGAGGTATTGGTTTTCTTTACAGAGCAGATTTTAAAAGATTTCTAATTATCAAATTTTTTAAATTTGAAAATATAAATATTTTGAATTTAAACTGCATTTTTATGAGGTAAAACTAATGAAAATAAAACTGATAACTCAACACGTTATCGCCACTTTTATTATCTGTCAAGATAAGATTTAGGAAGGTTGGAAACATTTAATGCACACTAAGCAATAATAATACATAAAAGGTAAAAAATTTTAATATCTTTTAAAAATGTTTAGGTATAAAATATTTTAATATTAACATTTACTATACAATATATAAGAGGCATTGAATTGTTGTTGGTTTTGCCACGAATTGTTGGATAAGCAAACCGGTGGGCACCAGTGCGGTTAATATTCGAATTTCAATATAAATATTAATTATCAATGAGCTCTTGGATATCTTCCCCTATCTATATCTCCGCCATATCACTCAAAAAATGTCTTAATAAGTATATATTTATTTATTTTTTTAACTTTATGTTGAGGATAGTTAAATCAGTGCACTTGAGCCTTTTACACTCTATTAACTGTGCGGTTTCATCATAACCCATCTCTACACCTTGACTGGATTATTGTTTATCACTTCTTCAGACTAAGCAATAACTGACCTCAGATTCTCAGATCTCCCTGTGGAGAGCGACTCTTTTTTTAAATTAAGATTTTAGCGGTGTCTTTCTTTTTTTGAGGGGTAGATCAAATTCAAAGCAATAGTGTTGTGATAAATTTGTATTAATATATATGCTTTATATATTATCATATTTTTTCAAGAAAAGGAAGAAGAATAATAATATAGAAGTTAATACTAAAATTATCAGAGCGTTTATAATCAATATTGCTTATAGAGATTTTCAACTTAAAACAATGAGGTATTGTATTCAATTAAATTTATATAACTCAGAATCATTTCAGGAAGTCTGACAAAACTAGGACTGAACTCTCATGGCACTTTTAGATTGTATATCGAAAAGACTTATTAAGAATCTTTTAAGTTAATAATAAAAATAAATATAATCATAATAATAATGCAAATAATAATAATTATAATGAAAATAACTTTAAGAATTATTAAAACCTAATAACCTGATAATAAAAATCATATTAAGTATAATAAAAAGAACTTCAAGCGAAGCCTGTGAGTCTATTCATCATTATTTCTGTAAAAATTAGATTACAGTTCGAAATATATGCAAATAACCCAACGCTGTCTGTTACTATTTAGTTTTGATATAAGTATATATGTACATAGAAATAATTTTTAATGAAATCCAATATAACGTAAATAATAATATAATATATATATCTTTGTTGCAATACATATAAGAGACAATTTTTTAATATATTGGAAATAAGAAGCATTGAGATAGTTGAAAATCGGAAAGAATTTGGTTTATACTACCAGTTCAGGAAAAAAGCTGATTTCTATTACTACAGGTTCTGTAAACTTGAGAAGAAAGCACAAACTCAAACTGGGTTAAGCTTTGTGGGGGTAATGAAAGATTTGGATTATTCTTGAAGAGTCGCACTTGTATTGGTGTGGGCTGCTTTTATTCTCCACTATATGAGCCAGATTTTAACTAATTACTATACATTACAAAGAAATTTAATAAAAATTATATCAGTGAAAATAAAAATTAAATAAAAAAATTAAGAACACCACAATTAAGAATATAACGATAGAGAATCTGAATCGTTATTATTATTTTCGTTTGTATTAAATTCTTTTTAATGTTTTTTATATAAAAAACAAAATTATATATTAATGAAATAAACAAACTAAAATACAAAATATTGATTTTATATAATGTTTTTAATAAAATCTTCAGTATAAAATTCATTCATTTCCTCGAAGATGACTATTGAAGATATTCGAAATATTACACATTTATTGTAAGACAAATAATATATAATTAATTAATTATAATTAATAAGTTTTAGTTAACTAACTAATTAGCCCGTTTCATAATTAATTATTCTTAATTTAGTATTGAGTTTCAATTTTCTAATATTTAAGTTAATTTTTATTTATTATTTCAAAAACTAACCGTGAAGCTTTTATTGCTTGTTTTAGTTGTCCCTGCAACTTTCCAACACGGTTATTAGCTACGTCCAGTTTCAGTTGACACATTTTTAATGAATTTCGTGTTTCAGTGACTTCCAACTGCGATTGATTCACTTTACCTTTAAATAAGAATATTTATGCATATATAATTATTTTTATAATTATTTATGTTCACATACTTGCTGCATGACTTAACATCTCTTGACATGCTGTATCCAAAGTAGATTTCTCTCCAAGTCCCTGTTCGGCTAAGTAAACCATTTCTTTTGCGGCAGAGTGCATCGACTTAGCCTTCTCATGATCAGCTGCTGCCTGCTGTGTTTCTTTAGAAAGCTGTGTGTAAAATATGTGGGTTTGAACGAAATAATAGATAAAGGAATATATATTTTTAAAACATACTTGTGCTGCATAGATACGAGATTCATAGTAGGGTTTCGCTGCTTCTATGGAGTTACCTAACTTATGCGCAGCTTGTTTAATGCGTACCACACTTTCAGCGAGCAAACGTTTAAATTCAGATTTTGCGTCCTGTAAGATTTAAAGAATATAGATAATATATAATCAGAAATATAATGTATGTTAAATGTATAAAATTAAATAGGATCTCTTATAGGAGTAGAAATAAACGGGATATCAGCTCCCAATGGAGCGGAGCATTGCACAGAAGAGGTTCCGCCTTCCGAATGAAAGCCAGAATGTTGGCCGTTTAGGACCTCCTAATGTTAGAAGAGGGGAGTAGTTCTTGACCCAGTAACCTCCTCCTGGTTCAGGTAAGGCTGGGCAGTCACAGAGAATGTGATTAGAAGTCTCATCTGCTTCTAAGCAGAGTCGACAATCTATCTTTTCGAACAGACTCATATTGTTAAAGTGATTTCGCAGTTCATGGTCCCTCGTTAAATATCTTACCAGCAACCTCAGCTCTGTTCTGCTGAAGAAGGACACCTTACCTGGTATCTCTTATACCATAAGTAAAATTAGTTATAAATATATTATAAAAACTATATTTCTTAATAGTGAGCAACTGCCAGTATTA